AAGATAAGAATTATTTTTAAATTTTAATTCTATCAAAAACGACTTTGCAGGAGAAAACTATAAAAACGTAAAAAAATTAACAAATAAGCAACAATAATTAGAAAAATTGGAAATAAGTATTTTTTTTAAAAATTGCTGAAAAAGCAAAAAATTGCACTTTCAAATTTCATAATTGTACGTGTTATAACTTGACATACACTTCTATAGCACTCTGCTACATTTTAAGTCAATCCATAAAAATAAGCAAATGCTTTAACTACCGAGCCCTGATAATAACCTTCGTCATTAGTTTGGTTTACACTTGAGTATGATTACGTGATTTAGGTGTTTAAAAAATAAGAGATCAAATACCGCTTATAAAAAACAATAGCACCCGTGTACTTCCGTTTTAGATAGCTGATATTCACATTGGTGACATGGCACCCAAAGATCCGCGTGATAAATGGTTAATAATTATTGCGATGTTCTAAAATTGTTGTTGTCATTCAGCACTAAATAACGTGTATATTCCATTAGCCGTTATCATAATTTGCATACGGATTTCAAATTTAAGGTTTCACATTTTCCGCGAGTGTTAAAATAAAATTTTAAATTACACTACGTCGTACGTTTATGGTAAATATAATATTGTGATATTACTCTGCGGAGGGGGGGAAAAAATTGAATATCGTTTAATGTGCGTGTAAACTTGCTGTGTTCGATAATTGTGACACTGTCCGATTTTGCCATATAGGGTGCGCGCAAAATCGCAAACTCCTTACCGCCCTTGTTCTCCCTCCCACCATCCCCGTACCGTGCGCGTATACATAAGGCCCGTTTCACAGCCGCACGTTAACCTCACGGAAGGATGTTGTTCGCGTCATAATCATTATTGTTATTGTGAAAACTGTGTGTAGACCGTCTGATCTTGCCGTTTCCGAATGGATCGGTCGCGTTTATTCTACGGGCACCTTGCAACGAAGGGTCTGCGCCCTCATAACCGTCGTTTTTTATCGAAATATAAATATTATTGCTATAAATATTATTCTCGGGATAGTATCTACCAAAATATCGTAATGTATAAACACTTTTATTTGTTTTATTTATCGATGATAAATTTATAATGCTACCGATTCTTAGAATTCAGTACACATCAAACTAAAAATGTGATCACCGCGGTCTAACAGTAGAACACGAATATATTAACGGCTGATAAACGCACAGTCATTGGTTCAAACCCAGTCGCCGACTGGTAGTTATAACCGGACAGGATAACCGCCTCTAGAGAAAAAAAAACGACACCGCCTCTTTATTTTAATTTGATCGTCGTTGGACACATGCAAATAGAAAAATTTCTTTCGACTTTTTTATTTTATTTATGATAAAATATGTACATGGGCTGAAATGCTCGTATTTATAAATATATAATTTTAGTAGATTGCTGTAACGTATACAGGGGGGGGGGGGGCTAGGCAAACAAATAATAAATAAAATTGTATATGAGGCAGTGCCTCACTTGCCTCATCCCCAAAACCGCCACTGAAAAAACCTAAAATATTCCAAAAAAAATCATACCCACATATTTTTGTAAGCCCAAATATATTCGGAGGCCCCAGACACAGTACCAATGTGCCAATACAGCACTGGGTAACTATGGTAGTATTTTTATTAGCCAGTTTCGGCCTAGTGGTTCATTTTTAAAATTGAAAATTTTTCTAACTTGTTAATTGCTTTTTAAAAGACGTATTTATATTTTGATGATATGCCGACTTTAAAATAGCTAAACTCTAGACTGTGGATAGTGGATGAGTTGCCTCCTCTCCCAAATGACGCCACTGTACTAAACATATTCGAATAAAGTAATCAACTTTGTAGTTAGAGATACTTATTTATTGGATTCCAATATTACGTTAGATCAGGACTCGAAATGGACCGAAACGCATCGGACTCAGTTCCCGTTGACGACAAAATTTTTTTTAGCGTTCCGGTTCGTAAAATAAAATACGTTTACCATTCTGGTTCAAACAAATTTTTACTGTACCTACCATATTTTGGTAAAATTTAAAAATTTTGAAGAATTGTTCATTGTAAAATATTTAATAAACGTCAAACGACCGCGATGCATAAGTACATTTATTGCCTATTTATACAATAATCGTCGTTCGCCGATAGTGTAATTTAATTTTATTTACACAATACGTATGAGAATTTTAAAAGTTAAAAATAAATAGTTAAAAATAAAATATTAGGTTGTTTTATTTGTAAAAATATAACAAATTTAGGATTATCTGTTGTAATAACTCTTCACTTTTCCAAACTTTATTCTATAATTTCGAATGGAATGTCAAAAGAAACCTAAATGTCTAGTTTGACAAAAAAAAATAATTAAACACAAAAAATATGACGCTCATCTTAATGTATTAGAATTACATAAAAAAATCAAAAGAAAAACAAATAGAAAAAAGTTTTGAAATCATATTATTGAAAGTATTGAAATCAAGGTTCATTACTACTGAAAAAGTTTTTAGAATTGCTTATAAAATTGTAAAAAACACAAATGCCTTTTGTTGATTTACCGAATGAAATAGATAATAGATTAACAAATTTTTAATGTTATGAATATGGGAAATATTTTACACTCTGATAAAACATTTGTGGATATAGCACTCCACATAGCATCAGAGATGAAAAAAAAATGATTTGCTAAAATATAATTTTAACTACAACAGTATAAAATAGTAGGTACAACTTATGTATTAAAGAAGGCTTAGTATATCAGAAAGGGGAAATTATAATTTTGGTAGGTTAAAGCCCCTAATTCTATATGTACTAAAAAAAAAAAAAATTTCCATTTCGAGCACATCTAACGAGATGATGTGTAATTGAAATTAACTAGCCAGTAAATATTAGTGCGAAATAAATCTATCGTATTTCACCGTATTAAAAATCATTTGACAAATCCAATGCCCCAAACAAATGAATTAATATAAAAACACTTTATAATAATTTAAAAAATATATATTAAATATGGATACTTTAAAATGTTTACAATACCTAGTACACCTACCCAGATCCGGCGAGAGGATGGGGCAGGGAGGACTAAGGCCCCAAGACCACATCTCCGAATGGGCCCGTTGCTCAGCCTATTATACACAATTATTTTATAATCTCATTCGCTGTAGCATAATATGCAAATTTAAATATTTTTATTGTACTAAAGTATATACAAGCAGTAGTATATCTTTGTTAGTCAAATGTAAGTTGAGAGGACCTGAAACCGATCAGCCCCGGGGCTCTCAAAAGTTCTCGCCGACCCTGTACCTACCCATATTGAACTTGGTACAGTGTAGACATCAACTTTTAGAATATTTCAGTGCATTGACATTATTATTAGTGACTATCTATTATAATTTTTCAATAAGAATAATATACGAGTATTTTCAAAAAATTTATAAATTATTAAATTTCCTTGTTCCCATAAAAGTTCCACCCGGAGAAAATCTCCATTTAGCCCCCTCCCATTAATGTGAATCTGCCGACCACGAACACACATAACCGATTAACCGATAAAAATCATCTGCTTCATTACATTCGGCAGTTTGAGTTGCTAGGGATTTAATGACCAATTATAATAGAGGCTAAGGGAAAAAATAATCCTATTATTTTTAGAATTTTCTTAATACCTATTAATTATGCGATTTTGTATTTATAATACCTGTCACTAATAGTTCACTTATGTTAAATAATAACTATGGTAGTGTTTAATGATGAACATTGATATATTATAACAAAAATATATAAACCTAGTAAAAAAATACATAATGTTATAAAATTAAATACAAATAAATATAAAAATTTATAATATTAAACGACGATTAAAAGGAACAATATTTTTGAATTCTTCAATTATATCAGCATATTGTATTTTAGCTAGTAGATCTTGTTTTGTTCAACAAACATTAATAAAAATACTTCAAGTCTATTTTGGGTCATGGTGTTTCAAAGTTTTGATTTGGTAATTGCTATTTTTGAAAAAGATCTCATGAATAACTTGTGACCGGGATAATTAAAAATTTCATTAATACTTTAGCAAAACAATAAAAAAATCTTTTATGTATCTAATTCCTATATAATTTCTATGATTGTAGTTGATGTTCCACTAGGAATATCAGTAGGTAATTACTTTAAATAGTTTAATTAGTAGTCAATTTTAAATATTTTATTAATTAGTTCTATATCTTCATTTGTAGGATTTAATTGTAAAATATTACTAACAGAAGATATTACACTTAATGTTTCTTGACTAAATCTTTTATTTATTCCATTTATCATATTATCTGATGATATATTGTAACAGTTTATTTGTATTTCTTGTTTTATAGTTTCATGAAATGTTTGAGGTGAACTATTCCTGTTTTCTAATAGACATGATATTTTTCTTTTCTTAACTTATCGATTATCATATAATAAATTAGATTTCATCGCATGATAACAAGTCTGCACCCAGCAACACCCGTAAACACGATCATGTTCATTATACTTCTTTGTTGGATAAAAAAAAATAATCATCCAATTATAATTTAAAATTAACTACAAGACAATTTTTTTTTTGATAGTTGTAAATTTTGTAACTATTTAGTGTATATTGAAACTGGTCAATATATTTTGTTTATGTTAAAAAATAAAACTAATTAAATAAACTTAATGTAATCAAATTTTTTTTATCAAATATGTACCTAACATTAAAAAAAAAAAAAATTATCTGCATTGATTGATGTATAATTATTTATTTCAATAATTTTATATTATTATCATGTGTGCAGTGCCATATATTACATATGAATAATTTGTAAACTAATAAAATAATTATTAGATTATGGGTCAAAGATTAAACTAATAGAAAAAAGATTAAATTTATCAAAAGTAATTATAAAAAAAGAGTAAACATTTAAATTGAAGACGAATAAATTAATAGTAAGTGTTAGCCACTAAGGTTTGATAAGAAATATCGAATTAAAAATTGAAGAGTTTTAGAACCACTTGCGCTATTCAGATTCAGAACCAGTTCGACCACTTAAAACATTCACTCTTGACATTCTCAACACTTGTCTCTTTTTTTTTCTTGTCATTTAACTCCTGTCTCGTGTAGTGTTCATCCTACTGTAAAAATATGTCTACTCCACGTGTGTCTATCAAAAAAGTACTCATCAGCGATGCTTGTGATCCCGGTTGTGCTATACTTCTCGAAAAAAATGGTATTGAAGTTCAATCAAAATACAAATTGCCTACAGATGCTCTCATAGCAGAATTAAAGGTTATTTTTTTGCATTAGAAATCAAATGTATTAATTAAGTTTTTTTTTACTTATTCAATTAATTACTTCAACAATGATTTTAAGTTTTCTTGTTATACATAAGTTAAATATAATTACTTGATTAAAATAACATGTGTTTATCTTACCTGAATATCAACCTACAATAATAATTAATTAATATTATTAAGAAATTAATAATTTAAAATTTATTTACTTTTGGTAAATATATAGATATTAAGCATTGGTTATATATATATATATATATATATATATATATATATATATATATATATTGATATTAATACTGTAAAAAAAATGTATTGTACTTAGGCTGGGTCATATGATGGATTAGTTGTTCGTTCTGATACTAAAGTAACAAAAGCAGTAATTGAAGCTGGAGTCCAATATGGGCTAAAAGTGATTGGGAGAGCAGGAACTGGAGTTGATAATATTGATTTAGACTCTGCCACTAATGCAGGAATACTAGTCCTTAAGTAAGTTATGTTTTTATTTTAATACCAAGTGACAATAATTTTTATTAGTTTAATTTTTTTATTATAATTAAATTTGTAATTTTTAACTTTTTTTATGTTTTGTACCATAATTAATCATTAAAATATAGAAGGAAATTTTCTGTACAACTATTATCCCTATAGTATAATTATTTATACCTAATTTAAATTTTTTTAATTGTCTTTTAATACAGGCTATATATATATATATATACCTATTTCTTTATTAATTAATGTATACATGGATAATTTATTCTTACATTTGAATTTCATAATTCTTTAAATATTGACAATACTTAATTAAAATTGACCTATAATTGACATTTTTGATACATTAAGATTAGTTATAAAAATTCAAAATATACTTATATTATAGTAACACAAATTAGATATTTTGAAAGTAAATGTGTTGAATGTATATTCTAGTATAATAGATAAAATTAAATATTGTGTCTGATAAATAGTAGGATATTTTTGCAATAAATACAAATTAAGTATCTATTTTTAAAGATTATAATAGATACATATAATTTTAATATTATGCTTTGGTAGATAAAAAAACACTTAAATTATCTTCCATATTTAATGAGTATTGTATTAGTTTTCTATTTATATCAATAAATTATATCCTTTAAATACTTATGAAGCATGTAATTATATTAAGTTTATCAAGTTCAAATGTAATTTGTAATTTTCTTAAAAGATTTTTACTTGTATTTAATATAAAACAATTTTGATTGCACTATTTTTTTATTTATTGGCTTTTAGCAGTACCACAGATTTAGTTCTAGATAACACTATTATTTTTTAATAATCTATTTTAAGTTTTAATTTAACAAGTATAATTAAAAATTGATTATATTTACAGTTTTTATTTTTTTAAAATTTTTAATAATAATAATAAAATATTATCCATGACCAAGAAATAATATAATAAAAATAATGTAATAAAATATATATTTACCAGATGATTAATTTTTGAATTGATACCGGTCATACTTAACAAATATAATATTACTCCGGGCTAAGCTTTTATTTATTTATTTCTATGTATATTAAACTATTCGTTTATTTATTTATATATAAGTATTTACCATTTAATAATTTTAATTTAATTAAATTTTTTATTATTTTATTAAATAATAGCTGTTAAAATCAGGATTACGATAAAAAAAATGAAAAAAAATACTTGTCAATTTATAATACTATTATACAGTGGCATAGCCAGTACTTTTAAATGGGAGAGGCTAAATACTTTTTTGGATAGGTTAGTTAAGAATGGCTTTGAAAGTTAATCTATACCCACCCTCCATCGCCAAATTTAAAAATGTATTTCAGACTTTTTAAAATAGTTTTAAAAATATTTATTAAAATATAATGAATAATAATAAAATAATAGATAAATAAAATAAATAAATAAATAAAATAGATTGATGATGGTCAGCTGAGGTCTTAGCCCCCCTTGGCTACACAACTTTTATTACATGAATAATATAAAGTATCTCATCAGGCACTAGATTTCATAAATAATATTATTAATTTTATATACTTTGCTATTACAGTACCCCTGGTGGAAACTCAATTAGTGCTTGTGAATTGACTTGTTCATTAATATTGGCATTAGCTCGGTAAGTTTCAAATTGTTAAATTTAATAAAAAACGTATATAAATTTATAAATGTTTATTTTTTTTTTTAAATTATTTGTTATCTATAAGTTACAAAATTATAAAAAATTAAAAATATCTTCGATTATTTGGATATCTTCGATGAAACATTTTATTTTACAATATTATCCAATTAATCAGATTACTAAATATTTTAACTTAATTATCTTCTACGTGTATAATTTTTTACTGATTATCACCTAAAGTGTGATTATTGCAAAAATATAACAGGCTTTTTATTTTTATAGTTTTATTTATTTGTATTGCTTATTTTTAAATGTAATACAATTAATTAGAAGTAATTAATTGTTTATAATATTAACTTAAGTATTCTCACAAACTTCCCATTCTTATTTTGAGTTGTTGTAATTAATCCTCAAAAACAGTGTAATACAATTAATAACTTTTGCCAGGATCTTAACTGAAGACTATACATAAATTGTATAGTTTTAATTCTGTAAATCTAAGTTAAATATTTGGTCTTATAACCTAAAATAAAATTGAAAATTTTAATTAGACATGTATTTATTAGAAATATTTTAAACTTATCATAAATCATATATACATTATTTTAACAACACTAAATAATTAATGCAACTTGCATGTAAATAATAATGTAAGTCGTGTTTTTAAATTTTATAGTTGATATTAGTATCTTTAAAATTAAGTATTTAAAATACAGTATATAGATTTGTGATGTTTTGTGTATATCACATTATTTGACTGATTCTATTGTAATTAGTGAAAAAAAAAAATTCAATAAAATAATAAATGTTATATCTTATATTTATACAAATATACTTGAATTAAATAATTTATAAATATCTATAGATATTAATATATTATTTGATATATATATTTACTAGTAAATAAAATTAGTTGAATGTTAACACATTGCATTTAGAAATGTACCTCAAGGATGTCAATCTTTAAAAGAAGGAAGATGGGATAGGAAGCTCTATATGGGATCTGAAATTAAAGATAAGACTATTGGCATACTTGGTTTAGGTAGAATTGGTCGTGAAGTTGCATTTAGAATGCAAGCGTTTGGCATGAAGGTATAACATAAATTAATATTAGTAATTTATACAATATTATTTAAAATATGTTTTTACACAGACCGTTGGATATGATCCATTTATTACTAAAGATGTTGCAGCTACATTTGGTGTGCAATTATTGAGTTTAGAAGAAATATGGCCTATTGTTGATTATATTACTATACATACTCCTTTGATTGAACAAACCAAAAGTATAGTTAATTGCAATTTATATATTATTGATACGAAATTCATGCGTTTTTTTTTTTTAGATTTGATCAATGATGATGTATTTAATAAATGTAAAAAAGGAGTGAAGATTGTTAATGTAGCTAGAGGTGGTATTGTGGATGAAGCAGCACTGCTAAGAGCTCTTAATGTACACTTGGAAAATAAATTCAGGATTTAGGATTTAATTAATTAATGTTTTGTTTATAGGACAGTAAATGTGGTGGAGCAGGACTGGATGTTTTGACTGAAGAACCACCAAAAAGTCCAGAACTGAAAACTCTTATATCCCATCCAAAAGTTATTGCTACACCTCATTTAGGAGCTTCTACACTCGAAGCACAAATTAAAGTAAACTAAGCAATTTTGATATAATTTTTGAATTTTTCAATCATCAAATATTAAAACAATATATTTTGTATATGTTTATAACAAATATAACTTACCTCCCCTTCTTTTAATACTTCTATCTAAAGCAAAACATAAATTGCTGTTAACACAATAGTTTTGTTCATAAATAAATTCTGATATTATAAGAAATATTAATTATAAGTAAATTAATATTTTTTTCTAATATCATATTATTACTTGTAAATTATTCATTGTGTGAATTATATTGAATGATGATAAATAATTAAAAAAGTGAATTATCTATTAAGTTATATTTAAACTAAATGTAATATTAAATAATTTAATTTAGTAAATAACTCAAATTATAGCAAACTATAACCATGTTAATAAAAATAATAATAAAAAAAAAAACCTTTTATTTATATTTTCTTAATTTGCTAGTAGTCTTGTGTTAGGAAAAACATATATACGAGGGTTATTCAGAAAATGAGGAACGTTTTGTAATAAAACAAAAACTAGGTACAGGAAAATTTTTTTATTATATACATCTGAAAGAGTGACTAAAGTGCTACTTTTCTACACAGTCACCATTTGTATGAGTCAAGAAGTTTTAGGAGATTTTCCCACATCCACCCTACAGTCCTGACCTTATTGTTGCACCATAATCTGCCATATCTTAATATATAAATATGATTTTTTACTAATTTATATTATTCTTCTTCTCCTTCGCCTTCCAATTATTTTAGGTCGGCCACCTTTGTCCTAAATCTCTACTCTTGATCTTCTATATCCCCTATGTATATACCAATGGCCCTCATATCATTCTCAATTGTATCCAACCATCTATTTTTTGGTCTTCCTCTTCTTCTTTTCCCTTCAATATTAATTTTCACAACAACTCTTACTGCATTTGTTTTATCTCTTCCCATTACTTGCCCAAATCATCCCAGTCTATTTTGTCTCATCTTGTCCACTACAGATGCTAAACCAATATTACCTCTCACATATTTGTTCCTTATTCTATCTTGTCACTCCACTTATCCATGTAAGCATTCTTATTTCTGCAATACGCATACTTTATTTTACCTATCATCTCCTGTTGACCACCCAACTAATAATTATTTTCTATTATTATTATTAATATAAAATATCTTATTTTTTAGTTAAATGTTTTACGAAAAAAATATCGATACTTAATAAAATAATTGAATTTAAAATGTTTTAGTATGTGCTATTTAAGTTCTTTTGTCTTATTACAGGTTGCCGAAGAAGTTGCACAACAATTTGTTGCATTAACTAATCCAAGTAGTAACTATTCTGTCAGTGGATTAGTCAATAAATTGAAGAATGGAGTTTAATGAAATTTTCAATAACATCATTGTTGTAATAAATATTTGAATTATTTTAATTATGGAGCCATAATTATTTTATAATATAATAATCTACATACAATGTTTACCATCATAATAAACAGCTCATTTATTAGACTTTATTTTTTTAATCTTAATGTAGTATATCATGATATCACTCAGCCTGTATTAAAACAAACAATGAAACAATAGCATATTAACAGTGCATATATAAAATATAAATTAATGAAGATAATTTTCTTCAAACACCTCTGTTATGTTTTTCCTAAATAAGTATCCATTCTTTCAAAAACATTTCAATTATCACTTGTTATGGAAAAGTCTTCAGATTTAAAAATGTCTGGGAATAAGTCAATTGAGATTAGTCCAATACAAAGATTTTGTTTAAAATATAATATTAATTATAATCTTATTATGTTAAAAGTTACTTTATTTTTAATGTATGGAGGTAAGTCTGATCAAATAAAATATGTTAAAACAAATATTTTTAAATTTTTCCTATCTGATTTAAAATTATTTTTTAGCAACTTCATCATTAGTTCCATACTTGACAATTCACATGCAAAGCATTGGATTATCTGTAGAAGAAATTGCTATAGTTTATTTAGCTTTGCCTTTAACCACTTTTTTAGCTCCACCTATTTCAGGTACTTGTAATTGTTTCAAACTTCTAGTTACCTAATATAATTCATCATGTAATTGTGTCGTTCAATTAATTTATACAACATTTGGTTTAGGATTTTTGGTAGATAAATTTGGTCAGTATAAACCAGTTCTATTCATATCACTGGCATTAAATGCTGTTTTTCATCATTCATTGATGTTGATACCTCAAATGGAAACTCCTGGAGCAATATCATCTGCATATGTTATGAGACATCCAGAATCTGGAAAAGTTGATGTATTTAAAATATTTGAATACATCTTTTAATTGTAGGAATTGTGCATTGAAAAAAAAAATTTAATATATAAATTTTAAAATAAGTTTTACTGTTAACTTTAAATAAAAATTAGATTTAAATTTAGAACATTGTACTCAGGGGCGGATCTAGGGGGGGGGGTTCAGGGGTCAGCTGACCCACAGTTAATATTTGTTGACAAAATTGGCCTCTTGGAAATTTTTTTTCTCTTTTTAGACCTTGATTTGGGCTCTCGGACAGTTGACCCATCGGAGTTACTTGTAAAATGAATGCCATGTATATTCAAAATTAAGAATTTTTCAATTCATAATTTATATTTTTAATTATATCGTTTTAATAGAATGTTAAGTAAATCATATTTTATTCCGTACGTTTGTTGCGCTGATAAAATTAGATTATATTTATTAATCGTAAATAAGTCATTATCGGAGGTATCACTAATTCTAAAATGTAATATAAATATACTCGTACACTTTTATGAGCATATTGTGTTTTTTTTTCATAATGTATTAATTTCTAATTCAGTTTCATCCCTAATAAATGGCCTCTTGAAATGGCTTGACCCACAGTTCCCCGAATCTGGATCCACCCCTGATTGTACTAAAAACTATTAAGGACAGAAAGATTTAATAATTCCTAAATTTTGAAGTAATGTATGGTATTATTAATGGTAAAAAACAATATTTAATCAAGTTTAATTCCTTTTAAAATTATTGATTTATGAAATCTGTTAAAATATTTTCAACAGTTAATCACTTATTAAGTATTAAAATGAGACATAGTTTTATTTTACGTACAATACACGTAACTAATAAGGTGGTCTAAATAATTGTAGTATAATATAATACTATTTCAGTTAAAACTATGGTTAAATATTCAACATATAATATCAGGTTTGGTGGAGTCCTTGCCCTAGCAGAGAATGCCCAGAAGATGAAGAAATTAATTTAGTCTTAGATGAATGTGAGGATCATTGTTTACTTAGAGACTCTAGTGTACCCAGAGAAGAAAACAAATGGATGACAAAAATTGAGCAAAGTATTGCTGTTCGACCACCAACTTTCATTACCGGACCTTCGAATCCTCAACAAGTATTCTCACTTCAATAATTTTTATAATTAATTATAAACATAATATTAAAAAAAAAAATAATTTTTGGGTGTGTTGGGAAGTTTTGATTACCTACATTTGATTTTAATGATTGCCTAAATATAATGTCTAAAACTATTTTACTCGTTATAATCGGTAGATATTTAATTTTACAATAAAAAACATTTGTTCTAACAATTTTAAATTCTACACTACATTAATTGTTTAGTTTATGTTATAAATACAATACCTACCGAGTTATAAAATATAATTTAAAGAAAACTTATGATAAATTTTCATTTTTTATGTGTATTCAATTATTTCATTTTAGCAGCAACTTCCAAATTGTATAGTGCCTCCTATTAATAATCATCAACCAGGAATAGATGATCCAGACTTGTTTTTTATTTATGAAAAAACAAAACTAGCTAAAAACACAACTAAACCGATGTAAGTTGTTGGTATACTAACTATTTTTTAATAATTTTCTGTATTATATTCCATAAAATGTTATTAAAACAAATTATCCACTAAATAAATTAAAAATTAGTTATAAAATAAATTAAAATTTATATTTTCAGTATTAAAAGACCAGAAGCAAAAAAAAATAAAGTGAGAATGGGAGTTTTATTAAATAATGAAACTGTGAAAGAAATTGCTACTATTGGAGCAGGTTTTAATAATATGAATGATACTTCCAATAAAAAAGAAGCTACTGTGTTTGTGGTATTGGACATGCATCCAGGTCTTATGAATCCAACTGAAACATTAGGTAGGTATTAAAAGATTAATAAGTATCATTGATTTTAAAAATAATATAATTTCAGTTGAGTATTTAAATTTTTCAAAGGGGCAAGTGATATTTATATTTATATTATATATACATTTATGATAATAATTAAATTTTTTTAGTTGTTTCCTATCTAATAAAGTACATTTATATATTTTATCGTAAATGGTATGTCTGGTATCCATATAATCTGGATTGAACTCAAAGAAAATAATTTATTCTCATAATGAAAAAGTACATATCATAAATTATAATGCTATAAAATATGTTTAAATGAACAATGTATTGCTAATATTTTTATTAAATATTAATCCCTACTATCGCCATGCAATTACAATGCATTTTTATAATTTATTTTTTTGTTAATATAATGTACATAATAAATAGGAATGGAGTTACCAGAACTTGATCAAGATGAACAAGTAACTGATTTTCGTCAGCATTTTTCATCAGATATGTTAGTTTCGTCTGGTGTGAATTTCACAGCACTTCTAGATCATGATTTACGATGTGGCGGCAGGGTGTTGGCAACAAATTTAACATATAATAAATTGAAAGAACTTGCTGCAGATTGTATGCTACAAAAATGTATTTTCAGGTATCTATATAATCTATGTATAAATGCATTATTGTTATTTTATCAGATAGAATCTATCCGCTATAAAAAAAAAAAAAAATAAAATAGTAAAAGTATATGTTATTAAAAAGGGGGAAACTACTAGACTGAGTGAGATACAGCGATGGGCGTATGCTATTGCTGTTATGGTCTTTTGAAATTAATAGAATTCTTGAAAAAGCGATTCTAAATAAAAGAGGTTGGTTGGATCATTTTGTATTTCTACAAATACTAAATACTAATAAGACTATATGAAGGTGTTTTTTCGGGAAGCTAGTTTAAGCAAAACAGTTGATGAGAACTTAATGTCATAAACATATAACATACCTATATCTATTAAATTTTATATTCCACATTAAAGTACCTAAATAATTTGTTAATAGTTTTCAGTTTATACCAGGTATAAGTATATTTTCAGTTTAAAAAATAATAAAACATTGGTAGTTACCTAATTATGATGTGCAATTAATAAAAAAGAACTATTACTAAAAATTATAATTATATGGAAGTGGGGTAGAGATTATATGTATAGATGATATATAATATATAATAGGTATCTAGTAGGTATGAAATATTATTAAATGTCTAAATGTCATAGGTATGTATAAGTATAGCTTTCAACCATAGTTGTATGTATCGAACTTAGGGTTTCCATGCGTTCCGGTGTCCCGAAAAATGTTTTCGGGACGTCTATATGTCCTGGGTTAGACGTTTAGAGGAAATGTAATATTGTTTAATTTTTAATTTCTACCATTTTATCTCAAAGTACATTTTTAATCGTAGTCGATTGACAATATATAATAAAAACATAATTTGTAATTTACACATATAAATATACAATTTATTTTATTTTACAAAAATATTTTTAAATATTATATTGCCGGTCATTAATGGTTCTTTTCAGTTGCGTACCTATATATAACTTTTGTATGGAGAGGGGTCATTTGCAAGAAAATTATTATTTTTATTTTATCATTATTTTTTTTACGTTTCTAACGCCCTCATACTAAGAACATTATTTTATAACATTTGAAAAAAGGCCTAGGGGGAATCTAGCCACCCTCCTCTTTGTATACGCCACTGGTCCTCTCAATATATAAAAATTTATATAAAAAGTATGTTACTCAATAATATGTTTGTATTGTTCCGGTTTTGCCTTATAAATTTGTGGTAACCCTAATCGAACTATTTAATTATATCAGTTTCTTCGTATCGTAACATGCTGTCGTGTGTTTTGAATTTATTTCCGTGCTAATTAAAATTCATATTTTGAATAACCATTTTTTTTTTTTTTATGCTCTGGCCCCCTAGATTTTAATTTTCTGAAAATTGGCCCTTTAGTAACTTTGAGTTGCCCTTCCTTGATAAATATCTTATCATTGCACTTTAAAAAAATGTAATACAAACTTTTATGAAAAATTTTACACTATAAGCGCATGTGTTTGCGAACTATGTAAACGCACCTTTAGTATCTATAATGATATAAAACATCCAAATCTAATACATTTTTGATGCTATATAATTCAAAGAACTTTTTCCAAATTATGAAGATTGCAAAGTGTAGCCTACTGAGTCTGACTCGATTACAAGTTTGATAATATTAAAAAAAAAACTATTCACATTATAACTCTTTATTTACTTAATTATATTGTAAATAAATAATTTAAATTTTATATTTAAAAATTATGAATTTAAAGAAAAATAAATTTTATTTTTTAGTTTCTATACATGTTTTATGATTTTTAGCTCATATTTAAAAATTTTTAGTGCATAAATATCACAGTAATTTTAAGTACCTAAACTTCTGAGCGCTATTTATTATTAATATTTTATTTTTTACGTTTCATCAAGCTTAACCAAAAACCAATATAATTTTTAATAGAACAGGTGGACCTGAACGATGTCCTCCAGAGTACAAGCCTTCAAATGAAAAAGTATTTTGGATATATTTTGGACTGCGGTTTATAGGTACAACAATGTCAGCAGCATCAGTGACAGTCATGGATCCTATAGCTTTAAGTCTTATACAAAGGTATGGTGGTCAGTTTGGAAGAGAAAGGTTATTTTCAACTGTTGGAATGGCATTATTCTCACCACTAACTGGTTGGCTAATTGATTACATGAGTTCAAAAAAAAGGTAAGCACTTTATTAAAATAAAAAAAGAATAGATTCTGTAAGAAAAGTATAGTCATTTAAAATACATAAATTTTAAAATAATTATTTATCTTTTATGAATATTGTAAAATAGGTTATACGGACTATTCATCTGCATTCTACACCTATGATGTTCTTCTTGTTTTATCAATGATTACATTACTAATGATGCCAGTTGGCATAAAAATGCCTGCAGATAATATTTTAAAAGATATGATAAGGTTATTAAAATTACCACATGTAATGGCATTTATATTTTTTTTTGTTTATGCTTGGTAATTGTTGGGGATTTATAGAGTCTTACTTATTTTTATATCTTAAAGAACTGGGTGCTCCTAATTATTTATTAGGTAAATTAATAATAAATAAAATATGAATACAAATTTTATGTTAAATATAATATAAACAATTTAATAGGTATTACAGTGTCTGTAGCAACAATCAGTAGTATTCCATTTTTATATGGCGCAGAAAAAATATCAAAAAAAATTGGACATGTTAACATTATTGTCATAGCTTTTTTTTCACATGCAGCTAGATTAATGGGCTATTCCTTTATTGAGTAAGTTCTCTTAAAAGATTTACAAATTATTTATAATACAAAATATAACATCTGAATATAGAGATCCATGGTGGGTATTTCCATTTGAAGCAATTGAATCTTTAGCAGTTCATTTAATGTGGGTAGCTGCAGCAACATACTGTGCTTTACTTGCACCAAAAAATCTGCTAGCAACACTTATTGGTGTATCCGGAATGTCCCACTTCAGTCTTGGTAAAAATAATATTTTTATAAATGTCTATAATCTGAAAAGTTAAAAATATTTATAAGGTCGTGGAAGTGGAAGTTTTTTTGGAGGGCTTTTAATAGGATCCTATGGAACAAGGCAATCATTCAGACTAATGGGATTACTGGGAATAATAAGTGGTACTATTTACGGACTATTACATTGTATGTGTCTTCACAAGTTTGAAGGACATACTACAAGTGAGAAGCCTGGTAATTTGTTTATAAATAATAAATAGATATTTTATACATAGAAATAAATAAATTAATAAATAAATGATTACTGGAATATTATAATTGTAAAATATTATGGGTTTTAAATGAAAAATTCATCATCAGGTATGTACAAAGTCAACAAACTTTGTATATACCTGATGATAAATTTTTAATTTGAAACCGGTTATACTTTAAAAATATAATACTCAAAATTAAACATTTATTTATGACTAACCATTTACTAATTTTTAATTTTAATTAATTAATTAATTGTAATTAAATGATGAAACATGAATAATTTGACAGTCAATTTTTTAAAATTTAGAACAATCAGAAGCAGAATCTCTAAAAGAAGTCGAAGAAAACAAAGAAGACTTGTCTGATATAGAATCGGAGGCCAGACGTTTGAGCTTAATGATTAAATTTAACCATCGTGGCTCTTTAGCATCATTAGATAAAGAAATACTACCAGCTACTAAATCGCAAAATGACCTAAGATGTACATCATTGCAACCTCCTAAAGTGGACTTACTTAAGTCTACTCTTGAACTAAATTACTTGCATAAAAAGGCTAATGTGAACAAATTAATATCAAAAAAAGATGACAACTGTGTATTAACTCCAAAATCAAGTAGAAAATCAATGATTATTAAAACTACAATGGAAGAAGAAACTAAAAATTAAGAATATAAAAAAAAAAAAAAATAATGTTATATCTTAAGAGTAAAGCTTTTGGTATAAACTAACAATATATTTACATAGATGTAATAGAATTTAAATTGTTTATAATTTTATTTTTAATGTTTCCTTTTATTTTTCTCATAATAATCTTTATTTTTGTATTCTTTTCTGTCATTTTTAAAAGGTTTTCTACCTCTTTCTCTTGAATAATCTCGATTATTTTGCTCTTTATATGATTTTACTTTTAAATCTTTTTCTTGACTGAGACTAAATCTTGATCGTTTACTACTTTTTTCTTTTTCATAAGATTTATCTCGTTCATTTTTATATCTTTTTTTATACTTTTCTTTTGATCTTTCTCTTTGATGTTTATAATGCAAATCTTTTTCTTTAGATTTATCCCGTCTGTGATTTTTTTTGTCATAGTCTTTAGATTTTTTTTTTTTTTTTATTGCTCTCATAATCAGGGCTTCTAATGATTTCTGGAGTACATATTTCTCGTTTAATTTCTGGAGAGCAAATTTCACGTTTGATATCAGGGGTAAGAATTTCTCTTTTTATTTGAGGTGAAAGTATTTCTTGTTTAATTTCAGTTTTAAATTCATTTTTAACCTTAAAATCATCATCTAATTTTTCAATTTTAATCTTACTGGTAGGTTCTGAATTTTTTGGTGGTTTGTAATCTTTAACATGATCAACACGTAATATACGACCCAAAACTCTGGTACCATTGAAATTATCTACTGCCAATATTGTACTTCTTTGGTCTTCATAGCATACAAAACAAAATCCTTTTTGTTTTCCTGTGTCTTTATCACGTACTAAATTTAAGTTAGTAATTTCTCCATATCTAATGATAAAAATAATAGTAAAGTATGTTAATTTTGTTATAAATTTCCCTTAGAAGAATAAATTATATAACATTTACTGAGAAAATATAGCCATAATGTCTCCTTCAGAAAGGTCATATGGTAAGCCGCCAACAAATATCCATGCACTTGATTTATACTCATCATGCCAAGAACTTTTAGGTAGACGTTGCAGTTCTTGTTCACTCAGTTTTTTCACATTTCTCATATTCCTAGAAAAATAAATCTCAAAGTAAAACTAAATAGATATTTAATAAATGTTAGCCCACTGGTGTCAATACCTTATATTTATCTATATCAGAAATATCTAAGATGAAAGTTGTATAAATAATACAATTATTCTAAATAAATTTGTGAATATTTTTAGTTCTATACAGTGGTGTGTCCAGGATTTTGAAATGGGAAGAAGTTTTAAGAAGTAAGAGGGTAGGATTATTATAGGTTATTGTTAGGTTTAGAGTTTTGTAGCTCTAAAAAATTCTCAAATATGCACTAAAAAAATGGCCAAATATGCACCTAAAAATAACCGTATAAGTACTAAGATATGCTAAAAAAAAAAAAATTAAGTACAAGAAATATGTGGTAAAATTAAATATTTATTTTATTAGAATTTATATTATAATGAACACTGTAATCAAAATTATTTAATAAAATAACATTTATTATCGGACTCCTATAAATGGTCGATATGGGCTTATAGGATTATTTATACCTACACAAAAATTATAAGTGGTAGTTTGTAGATAGCATGTAATTTTTTTTTTCAATTGATTTAAATATGTATGTATAGTTTTTAATTTTAAAATTGAAAAATATGTAAAATAAGCATAACAATTTTAAAATAAGCACATTCCTGCAAAATCTATCAAATATGCAAAAATATGCACACTCAAATTTTAGATCTAATATCATGGCACCGAGAAATGAATTTATTTCGCAATCTGCTATTTTTAACAATAATTAACAAAAGTATGCAAATGCTAGAAGTCTCTAAGCCTAGTTATTATAATATATTATATCCAAATATATGTCCAAAACCGCTTCCTTTCCTACGCCGCTTTTATACTTAATATTGATCACCCACTCCATGATTACCTATTAGTTAGAACTTCCTTAAATATCCCTACTATTCTTACTTCTCGCCGTGTAGATGCTGACCTATCATTCATCACCTCTCTCCTTAATGGCTCAATAGATGCCCCGAACCTTCTGTCCTCTATCTCTTTCCGCGTTCCTGTGCATTTCACTAGAAATCACTCTCTATACCTTGTCTCCCCTCACCGTACCAATTACTCCCATAATAATCCATCAGATAGAATGCTCCGCTTACTTAATAGTTCATGATCTGTAGCTGACGTGTTATTACTTATATCTACTGAATGTTTTGGTTTAGTTTTATCTCACCTTAGCATGTACTCTTTTAACTAACACTGTTTAATATAAGTTTGAACTTAAGTCATAACTATAAATATGTTTTCCATGTATATTATTTCATTATTATCATTTCTTGTTTATCTATTAATTATTACTATATATCTATAAATTGCCGTTTGGCGTTAAATAAATAAATATATTGTACAAAATAAAAAATTAAAAATAATCTAGTCCAAAGTTTAATTTTATGGTTTTAAATGTTAACAAGTTAAAACATTGTTAGGTGTAACTTTAATGTTTTAATGTAAATTTAGAAGCATCAAACCAATTAATCTATTCTTCAATGTTATTTTTCTAAGGTACATTTTTAAAGTATTAACAAAGAAAGATATTTTAATAGTTTAGGAAAGTCAAGAAAACAATTTCATCACACTGAAGAAAAGTTTCAATAGCATTTTCAGTTTTGAGATTTGTACGATATTTTTTGCATAATTTTAACTCTCCTATAGCTCCAAGTTTAATTTCAATATCAACAATATTTGTCCTAACTTAGTTTATTTAATTTTCTCTATCATTTAAAACCAATGAATTTAGTTTTTCTGGTAGAAGATAACAACATTTTTTTAACACATGACTACTACAAGCCTTTTGGTCATTCATTAGGAAGCTTTGTTCTCTACACCATCAAAAAATATAGTCTATTGAATAAAATGAAAGTTTGAAGAACTGTCGGCAATCTAAATGAAAGCCATATTACATACATTGCTCTAGTACAGCGTTTCTTAAACTTTTTTTATTCGTGGAACCTTTTTAGATGTCCACATTTATCGTGGAACTTTTACTTTTTTTTAAAGCTATTTTTAGGATTATTTGTAAATTAATTATAATCATATAATATTGTATTAAAGGTATTTAATTTGAAAAATTTGTTAAAATAATAATAATTGTATACATATATAATAATAATTACTTTAACCCTTTCAGACCCCCGGGTCACTTTTGTGACCCAATGTTTCATTCTTCGATTAAAAATAAATTGTTAGTGTACAGTAAACGCTCTGTATACATAACGATGTATAAAATTCCGTAGAATTCACTTATCTAATTATTATCATCTTATTGACTTTATTTTAGTGTATTTCTGTATATTTATAAGAAAAAATAATGTGGAAATAATTGTTCATGTTTTATTTTCATTTTTTGATTTATAAATACGAAAATAATAATAACAGCGAGTTGTACAATAATTTCCTAGAAGAATATTAGCTACGTAATCTAATAATATCATTTTTACTCTTACCTTTCCATTATATCGAATGATATGATTGTTTGAATTTTGGGTCACATGTGTGACCCACCGGTCTGTGTGACATGTTACGTTTATTTTCACTGATATTTATTTCATTTATCAAACGGATTGTGCTGTTATACTAACGCATTTCTATACTCAGCGGTACCTTATGCAAACTAATTAGTGTAATTTTTTATATTGTATTTAATGAAAAATTAATATTAAAAAAAAAAAAATGTCTCGTAAATTACTAGAATGTAATATTTTAGAATTATTATCGGACGGTTATAATTCTGATATTGGAAGTATAGATGATGAGGATGAATTTTTTCCCGATGATGAATTTCAGAATTTATTAAATTAATTTGAAAATGTAGATGTTTTTTGTGACTTGCCAAACGTCTCTGATAGTAATAATACTACTTTTAATGAATATACGCTGGAAAATAACTTTCCAATTACTAATAAGCAAAATATAAAATGGTTAAATGAACCTTTCCAAAGTTTAACATTAAAATTAGATGAATTAGAAAATGAAGTTCACCCTACATCTATGACTTCACCAATAGATTATTTTAATCAGTATTTTCAAGACGATTTTTTTGATAATATAACATTTAATACCACGTTATATACGGTTCAAAATTCAAAATTTTATTATTTTTATATTAAGGTTTTAAAATTTGGTTTTTACTGTTAATAATTTAAAAAGTTTTTATTTATTTTATTAGAATTAAGCATTTTAAGTTGCAGTTATCGAAAAAGAATAATCGATTTTTCAATAAATATAATAAAATACAAATAATGTACCTACAACATTTGTACACGAAATTTTATTCCATACAAGCCGATGGGTCACTTATGTGACCCTACTTGTTTTGGTAAAAAAAATTAAAACCACCTAAAAATTGGTGAACATTATTTTTTTAACCTATTTATACAATTGACGAAAAAAAAAAACTCATGTCTGAAAGGGTTAATTAGACTAAATATAAATGTAGTCTATTCCATATAGCTTATACATGGTAATTTAATATACAAAGATTTTTTTTCTATAATGCAAACATTTTTTCACTATTACTAATCTTTAGTTGGACATTTTAAAGTAATTTTCTTAACATTTTTTAAAAAATTACTTAAGCTTCGCAGAACCCCAGGGTTCTATGGAACACAGTTTAAGAAACGCTGCTCTAGTATGTAGATCATTTTTACAGAAATTTAACTCCTGGAATGTAGAGTTTAATGGTACATTTTTTCCTCGCATTTTTTGTTTTTTCAAGAAATTTAAGGGTATTATAGTAATTTTTTAATTCATTTTAATGATTTTATTCATTTTATCACTTTTTATAGATACATTTTCGTTTTACTTGTTGAAAATAATTTTTTTATAATACATTTTTTGAAAACTGATAATTATAGACATTTTGACATGTAAACTGCAAATATAATAGGCATAGGCGTGCGCACGGGTGCAGCGAATGCTGCTTTCGCTGCACCTGACAATTTATCTTGGATTTAGTGGGCTGGTAGATATTTATTTGAAAGGTATACATAGAATGAATAATTTTAAACATATTGAGTTTATAATTAAATTAAAATATATATGTTCATCAATGTTATTGTAATGAAAAATGATAATATTATTTTATCAATACAAATCTAAAAATAGATGAATATTATTGGGTAAATTCGACGTGCCTACACACTAGATTATACAGTATACGAATACAGACAGAACCACAATGACAATAGGGCATTAACCATTCAACCAGACGTGCAGCGATACGAAAGCGGAATAGATGCCATAATAATAATAATAATAATAATAATAATAGTAATCAGTAATCACATAACCGAATCGACTATTGTTTGTAATTGAATAATGATTTTTCACTGTTACTGCAGTCTGATTAGTGTCATTTATTACATATGTGAAGTTAAATATATTTATAAAAGTATAAATGAATATATTAAATTTCATAAAAATATTATTACTTTTTATTTACAATTTACTATATTTCTTATAACTATAATAGGTTAGTCATAGAGTGATGAATCTATATGGTGGGGGGATATACCATATAATGATTTGGGTACAAAAATGATTATATGAAGTTATAAAATATTAAATTTTTACACAGTGGGGCTAAAAAGAATTCAGGGGGGGATGTATATAAAGGATGTATATGATGCTATATAAAGGAAATAAGTGGGCTGCTTATTGTTCTTTAGGGCCGGTTAAAAATGTATGCTGCACTCGACACAAAATCCTGCGCACGCCTATGATAATAGATAAGTTTTAGAGCTCTGCAAAGGCCGGATTTGTATGGGCCTAGACAACTCATATACTAAGTAAACAACTGGGATCAGCTCATTCCGCTCTCTATATAGTAAATACTAGATATTTATTTGTTTTTTCAAACTTTACTACAAATTTATATTAAAATAATTACGTATTTCAGTGTTAATTTAATATTAAAAAATAATTTGTTTCATTTGAAATATTTAATCAGACACTTCTGTCAGGTAATCATAAATAGCTTTTGTTTTAAAATACTATGAATAGTTTTATGCACAAAAATTGTAAAAGTGGTAAGATGTTATATATGTAAATGAAAAATTATATTTATATTATTATAATAGATATTTTTATACACGAGCATCATGTATGTACGAGTTATTTCAATTGAAACTTAATACTGTATGTAATTTGTTTTAAAGAAATGTTTGAAAACTATAGATTTATATACAATAAATTACTGTTTTAGTTTTGGATATTTGTAAAGTGAATAAAAATTTAAAAAAAAACTGTAATGCATAAGTAAGATATAAGCAAGAATAGTTAACAAAAATGTTACTTACGTCAATGGGTTCATTTTAATGGTAATTTAGTATTTATTTGAATTAGATATTATTTTAATATTTGTTAAAATACAATAAGCTTATCAATATGATTATCACAAACGTAACGACAAATTAACCTCACATATTGATTATAGTTACCATTACATTGGTATAAAAAAAGGTGGTGACAGATATGGACATGGAGAAAAAAATAAAATGTGAGGTACTAGTGGATAAATCGACGTTTCGGAGAGTGTACAATAATTTATATATTTTAGTTATACTGTTTGCAAATGAATTGTTACTTTTCCATTGACAATTTTGGACTATTATTACAAATTAATCGCAGTATTAGTTGTTTTATATGTTCATAACCATCCTATTGTGTGTTTTTTGAAGTAAGATTTAATCATTAATATTTTGCTAGTAAAAATCTAAAAGGATTTGTTCGTCGGTGCGAGCTTCCAGAGAAACGTTACACCAACGTTCCATCCGTTAAAGAGTTGGCGGCCGTATTGAGTATTTGGGCGGGTAACTCAAGTTCGCTTTGTCCGAAAACCACAGAACACGAATTTTTTTTACGATCCCGCCGTACGTAGCGTTTCTATTTTCACGTTTATGAAGTTGGCTGATAAAAGCAGTGTCTGTCATCTCTATCGCCTGTACGAACATAATAGCATAGGTACCTGGGATATTTAATGTTATTATGATTTCGTTTTTTATCAGTTGTCGGCACACTTGGTTTACTCACCCGATTTATGTGATTAAAAAACAATAAAATTATAAAATTTAAAGCAATGCTTTTGAAATTAAAAATAATGTAAATCAAATGCTGTGTACTGTCAATCTGTAGGAGTGATTATGTTTTTTCATTCTCGTATCAATTTCTCACTTATTGACGTCGTTTTAGGTGTAAATGGCATCGTTTAATCAAGGTGCAAACGAAAACAAACAAAATGGGAAGAGGAAATGGAACGAATCACATACGGATATGGATAGGAACTCTAATGAAGACGAGGATGACAACAAAATCACTGGTAAACGATACATTTCATTAAATATAAACCTTTGACTTTATAAAAGTCAACAGTACAAATTAATAATATGCGTTGTATGAGAGTTGCACTTATATTAGATTGAGTGTTCCAATAAAATATGTTCTTGTCTTCCCTACTTGTTAAACATTTTTAATCTGTGTAAATATTAATTTAACTTGCGAAGAGTATGATTTGAAAGAATTAATAAAACAAAATATTACATAAAAATAAATTTAATTATAAAAATACCAACTGGACAACATATTAATTATGTTTTGTATTATCAATTAATGTTATATGAAGATATTATACATAAATATTTATTTTTTCCTTTAAATTATAATTCTTTATATGATTACGTATATAACTTTTTATAGATTTATTTATATTTCTATGTTATTAAAATAAGTTAGCATAATTTTCTGAATATTATAAGATGTTTAATAATATAGGCTTTCAATAATGTATTTATAAATATAATATATACATCTGGTTATAGTGTTCCAAGTGGATTAAGTAGAATAAATCAATGTTTGATAACTAACTAATTTTAGCTATGTATTGGTAAGTAATGATTATTTGTAAACAATTAAACAAGTATAAATATTAATAATGTATTAAGGTCTTGTATTGATATGAAATCAATTGGACTAATGTAAAGTGTAGGTTTAACATTTTATCTCAATCAAGTTCTGGATCCAAATTTTTATTACATTTTTAATATTCTACTATGTAAAAAAAAAAAAAAAATGGTATGGAATTATCAAATTTTTATTCTGTTAAAAATGTGTAATTAATATTTAAGGAGAACTTTAGAATCTTGTCAGTGTTAAGTATAACCAAAAATATGGTAGAAAAAAATCTTGGAGGTACCTTATATGAGAATAGATGTATGTATAATAGTATTAATGTTAGTGATACATGATTTCATGAGTTGAAAATTAAGTTATAAAATATGTATGGAATTGTAATTTTAGAGTTAGGTAAAATAAGTTTTTAATTCTTATAAAAATAAAATTTAATTTTCTTAATTTTTTTAGTAAATTGTTTTTTAATTAGGTATATAAGTATATAGGTATAAGTAACTTGCTAACAAAAACTAATTACATTTTAAATTTAATTAATAAAATAAAAATTTCATAATATTAGAATTTTATATTAAAATTAATTGTATGCTTATTAATATTTTATCATAAATGACAAATTTATTTTTAATTATATGTCTGTAATAATATTTAAAAAAATAAGTACTGCAATAATATAAATAAAATGTATCTATGAATTAAATCATTGATTTATATTTTTTCTTAAATATTTCCATGTTTAACTACAAATTAAAAATAAAATTATACCTATTTATTTTTACAAATGATATAGTTCATATAAAAAATATGTTTTCTAGTGAAACTATAATTATTTCTTTTTGAATTCATACTTAAGAATTTCGGTTACTTATCATTTTAAAAGTAAAATATATATTTATGATTATTGTAACTTAAGTAATTAATGAAAATAATCTTTGAAATCCTGTAGTGTAATAAAATTCAACATTACTTAAAGTATTACTTATTCCTTCATTTTTACTACAATTATATAACAGTAATTGTAAAACCTATTATGTTTAATGTTCTTTATGTTATATAAAATACTGTTGTGTACTTATTCTTTGCTCAGGTAAGGCACATGATTGTTCTTTAAATATAATTGTTGAGCATTAATATGTATTTGACACTTTTAATTGTGTTTATAGATTTTGTATTTAACAAAACTTAAACATGTTTCTTTTTTAAAAAAGAATGTTCATTTTCATTAATTATAATCTGTATATATACATATATATGTTATGGGTAATGTTAACATTTGGATAATGTCAACATTAGCTGTCTGTTATGGCTAATGTGTAATTTTTCGTTTATAAGCATGAATTTTTAACATTATTCGGATAATGTTAACCTTAACCAGTTAATATTGGATAATGTTAAAAGTTGTATATTAAATAGACTATAAAGTTTTTATTAGCATTCTATACAATAATAAAGTGTCAGACTTCCAGAGTGTAATATTTTATCTTGATTTGTAACTGAGTTAGTCAGTTATCTTACCGATAAAGTGAACAATATATCGATATATTGATGTGTAAGTGCAAATCGTTTAGCATTTTGTGCAATTCAAAATGTTACCAAGCATGTCATGTAATATTAAAGGTTAAAACATAAGCATTTTAATTCTATAGGTACTTAAAATAATATTTTAAGAAATAATTTATAATATAAAATGAAATTCAATATTGTATTATTAGTTGGTTAGATTATTAAAAATATAAAATAAATTCTTATTAATAATATTATGTATTTTATAGTAATTACTAATTTATTGTATGTTAAATATATTTAATATTGTTAATGATTTACAGTGATTTTATTTCATGCACGTTTAATTGTTATGGTTATTAAAACATTATCTAAAAATTCTTGGCTAATATCATATACGATTAATGTTAACATTAGCCAATATTAAATAATATTCATGGTGGTTAATGTTGACTTTAGCCGGATAATTTTGACATTATCCAAATGTTAACATTACCAGTAATATATATATTTTATTTTTTTTATTTTCGCAATATTAGCTTATTGTGTAGTTGAATTTATAATTTTATTTATTTTATTTATGATCTTTTATTAAACTTTCATACTTATTAAATTAATTTAATTTGTTTAATTGTTGTTTGAGAACTAAGTATAATTATATATAGTTATTTCATGTCATCCATCTTCAAATTTTTTTTGCTATATAATTAAATATAATCTGATTATTAAGTATTTCCTAACCTAACGTTTCAACCATATTTCAAACTATTATTAGTTGAATCCATTGAAAGATTATACAATGTTTATTTAAATTATGTACACAAGTAAAATAGGTAAATAACATTTTTACAATTTATTATTTTATCTTACAATATTACAATATTATAATTTTAAATGCTTTAGATTTAATGCAGTATCTTTTCATGTAAAGCATATAGCTTATATACTTCAATTTATCTTTGTACAATTGTAAAATAACCATAATATTTTCAATTAAAAATATTAAAATTTATAATTATTATTTATCATCAATTTTCAAATTCTTAGGATGTTAATGTTTTTAAAAATGTATAAAATTTATTTGTTTTTAATTTAATTAAAATTGAACATTGTACATGTTGTGTATCTAGTATTATATTTTTGAATGTAAAATTATTTTCAAACTTATGTGATTTACTCATGACATAAGATATACATATTGTAGGAATTTTGTAAATATATAATTAATTATGGGTATGTTGTGTTTAAGGTTAAATCAGTTAAACATATTAGTCATTAACTTGTTAATTTATTTATACTGGTTAATGTTCGTGTTAGATCAGTATAAATTCCAGATTTATCAATGTAATTTTTATAATTTATATTATTTGTATGGTTGATATTTTAATACCTAAATAAAATTCATCATTTGTTATACTTTTTTTTTACAAATGTATTTATAACATTTTTTTTTTTTTTATAACCCAATTGAACTGAATTGTGTTTATTTGTAGTATTTTTTTTTGATAATCATTTATTATAAAATTAAGTGTATAAAGTTATATATTGAACCAATTTTCAAAAATTATTGAATACATTTCCTATATTATAATTTTTTTATTTTTATAAGACTTAAATAATATTTTATATTAAGTGGTACTTATTTAAATATAATATAAATCTAGTAATTACTTGGATAAAAGTAAAGTTTTATTTTTGGAGAATTTTATATTTTTTATTAATAATATGTCATTTTAATTATTTACTGATGGTTATAATTAAAAATACTTATTCATCTAAATTACTATTGATCTATTATTCCATTATTTATAAATGGTTTGTAGGGATTATTAAATTAATTACATTTGTTAAAGTTGGTTGTTATCAATATTTATTTATACATTTAATCTGCACTTATATGTATGTATTGATTAGGATTATAAAAACATATTTCAAAGTGCTACAATATA